TATTTTTTTTTTTTTAGACTTTAGAAACTCAGAAGCTGATCAAATATCGGGTTAAATATCGGTGGGGGGGCCGATGTCCGATATGCAGTTTTAATGGAGATACCGATAGGGGGCCGATTATATCGTGCATCCCTACTATTAATAATAATAAAACGTGTTTTTCTTACTCTTCTCCATCGTCCTCGTTTACAGCATCCATGGAGGAGTCCGTTCCTTCATAAACAGGCAAAATGGTTCAATGATTGGGAGGAAAGTGTCGGTCAAAAAGCTGCGATGTGGAGAAGTAAAGGACTCACCACCGACGTTGCTGCTGCTGCTGTTAGAGTATCCCATCCGAATGGACTTTCTCTTTAGCATAGAACGGCGTGAAGAGCGACGAACGGATTCCTGCGTCATACTGTGCCGAAGACCCGCCAGTGACTGACGCAATTTGAGGGAGCAGCGAGCAGAGCTGCGCATAGAGCTGCGCCTCGAGCTCCGGGCGGCGCCGGCTATGGCCATCTTGGTAGCCGTGCGGCCCGGAGAGGCGGCTGGTTTTATGGCGAGCTCGGCAGAAAGGCGGTCCTCTGCCGAGATTCTGACAACTAACTCGGGGGAAGCCATCTTTGGAGGAGACTGAGAAGTGCTGCCGGGTTCCTCCGGTTCAGTTTCTGCGTCATTCACTTTTTGGATTTCTTCCACTTCCTCAACCAGCGGCGGCTTCTTGTTCTGCGCCTCTTCTTGTTTAACGCCGTCACCAGACGACTCCTCAGCATCTTCGGCCCTCGTCTGTTTGTTTCTGCGAGTCGTGCGTTTGGGCTGCGTTCTGGTATTGGGCTTAGAGGCTGAAGCCTCAGGGACCGCTGCTTCTTCTTCTTCTTCTGCTTCAGGGACCAAGTCAGGAAATTTGACAGCTGACCCGCGAAGGTTGCTGCGCTTTCCCTTCGAGAATCTAAGGTATAGACAGACAGAAAAAAACTGCTAAAGAGACTCAAACATAATTTAAATCCCTCAAAGGTATAGTGGAGGATTGGGTTTTTTTTCTGGGTGGATCATCTAAATCAGTGGTCCTCCTAATTGTCAATCATTCTGGTGACATGTTTACGTAAAGCTCCCGTCACACCTTGATGACCAGCGTAGCCTGATGTACGAAAAACGCTGGCATACGTTGGATAAGTCATGAGTACGCTGAAATACACTGGAACATGAACATTCTGAGCACGCTCAAAATCTCCCGCCATATTCTGCCATCCATGGTCCATCAGTTCCAGGTCAGTTATCTGATGGTCGACATCCGTTCAGCATCAGTTCCTCATCAGTCGTGGCGTCTGGCTGATCCTAAACCTCTGACTAACTTCTGCGTAACTTATCCAGAACTTCTCTCCAACATATCAGCGTATCTGCCGTGTTCCAGACGAGCGCTGAACGTGTTTCTACCTTCCAGCTACTGTATAATGGCGTATTGGCAGCATATTGGTATAAAGGGGGTTCACAGGAGGAAACCGTCAGTTCTCCTCCAGACTTCATCCCCATCATAGGGTGAGCCAGAAGGTGAGTGATGGATCCTCCCTGCGTTCACGCCCACCACCAACACACTTCCTAGCAGACATGACGCTCAATCTGCTGACACCAGAAACCTGCTTTCTTTCTTTTTCTTTTCATTCATTCTTCTCTGGGTGGACGATAAACAGCAGCTAGGTTAATACCGCGATCAAAGAAACCTTTTCTGCAGACCAGGTGCCATCGGGCGCATCGCTGCCCCCCTCAGGTCACTGTGCATCATTTCCTGGGCATCACGCTGCCGTGCGTTATGCAGAAGTTAGGCTGTCATTGGACAGAAGTTCTGGACTCGTTATGAATCCTCTATGTTTACACCTATAATAGAAAGAATCCATAGAAATTCGGCGTCTGCCTGAGTTTTAGGAGATTCTGGGACGTCAGGCAGACGCTGGATAAATCATACGTCCTACGTGCTCGTCCCCATTCTCACTTACCGGTGGCGAGTCTGTCATAGCGGAAAAATTGCTAATCTTTTGAAAAGTAAGTCTGTAGGAATGATACAAACAGCAACTTTTTAAACAGAGCGTGCACGAGGAGCATTGGGCTCATGCACGCTCTCGCACACATTCCCTCTCTGGAGCGGGTACACGGTTGTGCAGATGCATATTTTTGGGGAGTGGAGAGAGCTGGTCTTCTCAAAAATTCCCCCAAATCCTCCACTATAGCTTTAATCTTCAATCATACCAACCTTCTCCTCGGTTGACCCTGCTCTTGGCGCCCTACAGATACGCGCTTCCTGCGGCTGTTCTTTTTCTGGGACGGCGTTTTTGGCATCAGTTCTGGTGCCGCGTTAAAATCACTGAAATAAAAAGAAATAGTTAAAGAGATGCATCACAAACTTTAGTCCTATCAGGATCCATTCAGCAGACTTTGATTGCAGGAAATCCGTCCCACCTGGAGAACATGCTGTTTGCTTCCTGCTGGATCTCTTCCAGCCAAACCATGTGGACATTTTCAATCTCACTGACGAAATCCTGAATCTTTTTATGAGACACGTGCCAGAGGGAGCTCACTCTCGACTGCAGGGACTTCATGGTGGCACCTGGAGGAAGAACAGTTTAAATATTGAACAGATACTTTTACACAATGTTTGCCTTTAGATAAAGAGATAATTGTGATTCTAAGACAGCACTGCAAAAACAATCTAGAAATAAGTAAACATTTCTGAAATTAAATGTATTTACTCTTAATCTGAGCAGGTAAATGAGGTAGTTTGCCAATGGAATTAGCATTTTTACCCCTAGAATAAGATAATTAGATAATATGCTCTTATCTAATTATGTGTTTTCTTATTTAAATGTGAATTGTCTTGTTCTATTGGCAAAATGTCTCTCTTACCTCCTCAATCCAAGAACAAATGCACTTATTTTAAGAAAAAAGGACTGATCTAGATTTCAATTTTTTCCAGTGTAGAAATAATGAAGATGATTATTTACCATCTTATCTGAAATAAAATATCCCTATAATCTTTTTGGCAAAATGTTAAATATCAGGACCTTTAATCCATGATGCTTATAGTTTATTACTGTAGTTTTAAGGTAAAAGAAAAAGAACTGCACTTTATTACCTTCTAGTGAATTTCAACACCTGCAGGGTGAGAAAACATTTACATTTTTACACTACAGGTTTCTGCGAGTTCAACAAGTCCATGAGATTTTAAAAACCTAAAGCCATGACAATTTAAAGAAACTACTTTGTTAAAAAAAATTAAGAATCGTTGCTTAAATTAAATATTCAACTTATAAAGACAATCTAAAGCCATAAATGAGGTAAATATTGTGCCTGAAAAAGAAAGTGTTAGAACTTATGTGGGACGTTTAGTCTTTTTATTGGATTCACGATTTCTATAAATTAACATGTTTTAACAAAAAACTCTTGCTAAATTCTAAAGTTTTCATGTTCAAGTTGGCATCATGTCCTCAAGTTGGACTAAATTCTCTTTAGCCATTTGCACATTAACATTAAAATAATCTTTAATGTGAACTTGTAGTTAAATTGTTGATTTGGAGCGTTGGCCTAGTGGTTAGAGCAGCGCTCTGTGCTCTGAGAAGGATGCCAGTACCCGGTTTGATTCCCTCAGACTGCCACTCTGGGTCCCTGAGCAAGACCCTTAACCCCACTCTGCTTCCCAAGGGGAGGGGTTAAATGCAGAGAGGGAATTTCTCCACAGTGGGATCAATAAATGGATTTACAACTATTATATACATTTCTAAACTATTTAAATAAACAATAATTTTTAAGTAACAAATCAAATTTATCTGCCAAAATGGCCTTTCCCAGCCAAACGTCACAGTACTCTCATGGAAGAATACCAGTAAATAACCACAACCTTAGCAATGGAAAAGATTATTTTCATTATAAAGGGGAAATTATCACTATTTTAAGATATTTGGAGTCCTTTCTTTATGGAACATATAGAAAATATGGATATGAGGGGTGAACTATAGTGGCAGCTGGGTGTCCTGAAATGACCTTTGATATTTCTATACCTGACAATTTTACTGAATTATACATTTGAATTTTCTGAACTATTTATTAATAATAAAACAATTTGGGCTAATCTTTTGGAAATAGAGAAATCATTATTATTGTATTTTGTTTGTTTTTCAGGGGATTTGGGGGAATATTTATATCTGTGTTTGTTGTTCTTTGGTTCCTCATATGCTGTGTATCTAATACGTGTTGCTCTAAAATATCCTGATGTGCAAATAAAGGACGAGCTGAATGTTGGACAATAAGCCTAAATGTTTCATTTAATGTGAGAGAACGCTTATGTTCTGTAGATTATTGGAAATACTTTTGAAAAATCAATCAAGATAATGCTTTAAAAAAAAAACAAGATTAGGGATGAAACAATTAATCAGATTGATTGATTATTGAAATGATGGTCAAATCATTTAGTAACCTATTAATGGTTAACTGGAGTATAGAGACTGAAACATGTCTAGCTGACACAGCGACCCACTTAGAGCAGGAATTATACCAAGATTGTAAAGAAATATATATATATATATCTCTTGTATTTAAGATTTTTTTTATTTTATTGGCCATTAATTAGCTTTACTCAAAACTCCTGAAATGTAAGTTTTAGTTTCAAACGTTTGTTTCTTTAAAAAAAAAAAAAACTCTTCTTTAAAGACCCTTTTGCTATAATAATAATAATAATAATAATTGACAGATAAATCGATTAGCAAACTAATGGTTAGCTGCATCCTTAGATATGATTCTTTCCTCTTTGATGATTCAAGCTCTGTTATCCTGAGGTAGAAAAATCTTCCCCCAAAATATAAAGACCTAAAGTCTTTTTATTCATCAAATATTTAAGGTTTTTTTTGCTCTTTAGTTTCTGCTGCTCCTTACATAGTTTCTAAAATAGACTTTATGTCTCATCATGGACAGTTATCTGTCCTTCGTTGTTAATTTCTCTAAAGTAAAAACTGAGACAGAATCTTTAAAAATCCATCCAGCTCCTAAATATCTAAATATCTTCCAGTTTCTGGATAATCTTTCAAAAAGCTTTTAAATGGGATCAGAATCCAGCAGATCTAATACCAATTTCTAGCTTCTGTCCTTTAGCTGCTTGTCTAGAGAACCGGAAATAGCTAGAGCTAGCTTAGCAGCAACGGCTACCTCACAGAAACAAGGAGGAATTTTCTTTTTATTCATTATAAAATACACAGAAATTCACCAAAAACACAAACTTTCAAAAAATGATATAAGATTAAGGAAGCTGACTTTTTATCTGTAGATTAAATCACAGCCCGATTAGAATTAGACGTTAGTTTAACCAAAGGAAACTTCCAATAACGTATGAAACTAACCCATAAAACCCTCATTATACCTGAACGGTTTGAACAAATAGAGTGTATAAATGAAGCTATTTAAAGTAGCTGCTGGGATAACAGCAATGAGAACATAAACAGCTAAAATCAAACATTTCTATAAAGTCACTATAAAGATGGGATTAAACCTAAAACTTTATTTTCATGTTTAACTACCTGAGAAAACCTGGAGATGAACATGCTAGGCAGGCAGCAGCAACAATCAGAGCAAAATGCTAAATATTTACCTTATATTCAGCGTTTCCTAAAAACGTCAAAGAAGACTGTTGGTCTGGTATTTACACAAAAACAAACAACTAAATCAATCGCATACTTGCGACAAATTAAACGACCGAAACGGTATAAACTTTATCCTCGCGTGTAAAAAATCTACTCCTAGCAGCCTGGAAAGACAACAGCAGCCCTCCCAGGAAACCCGCTGAAACCGTTTTCAAAATGTTCAAACCTCAGTAGCCAATCACAGAGCGGCTCAGCGGTGAGAGCAGCTCGCTGTTTACACCGTGCCGTCCAGGGTGAGCGGAGCTAGTATCCAGAAGAGCAGGAAAAGGTTAGCTACGGGGTTTGAATGAATGTTAAACAAACACAGCGGAGCCGCAGGCGGGGCTTATGGCTCAGCTTTTAAAATGACCAATCACAGCCCGGTTAGACTTTCCTCACAGGTGGGCTGGACCGTGACGAAGGTTTAAATGTTTAGCTCAACTTTCCCAACCTTTCTTATGTTTGGATTTGAGGTCGATTTCTGTGGAGGACCAGCTCTATCATATTTAAAAATAAATACAGAAATAAATATCTTCTCAATAAATAAATAAGCATACAATTGATTTCCCCTAAAAATGCAATAAACTAAATGTAGGTAGAAATTAAATTATACACTGAGACATAAATGTATAAATCTCTTTCAATTAGCTTCTTTATTTATTCGTCTTTATAATAATTACCTTATTTACTTATTGTCCGTTATAATCTTCAACTTTATTTATTAATTTATTTTTTAAAGTATTTGTTAATGTGCATTTTACTTAAATTTCTGTTTTGGATCTTGGCTAAAGCTGAACTCAATAATATAAGAAAAACTTACGTTTTGGTTCATAAAAGCTTGTTTAATTTTTTATTAGGTCGACAGAAAGCAGAACGGATCCCAGAGCCCAATTTTATTTAACTACCTATGAAATCAAATATTTTCATGTACCTCTTGCAATGCACTCAATGACCACTAGGGGCACACGTACCCCAGGTTGGGAATTACTGCATTATATAAACCTAGTAAATCGTTAAAATTACTTCTTTATGTATTTTATGTAAGCAGGGATGGATGTAGGAAATGTGGGGCCCTAGGTAAAGACAGGCAGGGGCCCCTCTGAATGGAGAAGACATCAAACAGCCCCATTCTCCAGATAGAGAAATGTTAATAGAATAGACATCCATTATCTGTTCTAGGTTGTGTCCCTCTCTTCTTGTCCCTTTTCTTCTTGTTTTCCTCTCTATGTTTTGTACTCAGCTGACTTTTCATGCTGTCTCTAAAGGAATGAAAGATTTTTTCCAAGCACTAAGCTCACTTAGCTGATTGCTCCTTCCTGTGTTTCCAAAAAGGCCAAAGTAAATAACCCAGTCCTTCTTTTCACTGTAGACAAGCCATGATCTGCTTATCTGTTCTCCATTTTCATCTGGATGAAATAATAGCTGCATGAATCATGACAGCAGACAAGATAGAGGAGAGCAGGAGGCGGGGTTACCAATCTACTCGCTCTGGAGAGCAGAGTTCGCTGCTTTTAGATGTTGTCTCCAAAGTCTCCAGTAGCAGAAAAAAGTCTCTAGATTTGGCGCTAGGAGCTTTTTAGAAATCAAAGTGCTAGAGGGGTCTGAAAAGTGGCTAAATATAGCGACTAAAGCGCTAAGTTGGCAACACTGCTCTTTGCATGGTTTGTTTTCAAATGGTTCTGATGGCATTTTAGCCAAAGGATTTTAATCAGAAGCATAATTAATGTGCAGAAATAAGGAATAGTTGTATCAACCCCCCCCGCTCTGCCTATAGAAGTGAGGCTGTCATACACAGGCCCCCCCCACCGGGTTCTCTGACCACAGTACGGATTCCATCTGGGGGGGAGTGTCTTGTCCAAGGGCACAATGACTGAAACAGAACCAAGATGGACGAACCAGAGACCGTCTGGTTGCAGATGAGCTTCTGTGTCATGTGGCGCCGTGGAAGCCCAGGTTGCTTTTTTTGTTTGTTTTATCTTTCTTTCTTTTAACTTGAGCATTTCATTCTTAGGAATTTTATTCTTTCACCTCAAATAAAAAACAGCATAAATACATTGCCTGGAGTTAGTAAGGAATCGATATAAATACTAAATAAAATCCTATTATAAACCCCTATTTATAAAACTGCAGCTCCTCTGAGTAATTCCTTTATAATCACATTTAATCTGGATGGAACTAGGATTAAAATAAAAATAAATAAGGTTTCTTAGATAGCAGCCTTCAGGTCATCTTGATTGTTGTGTTTGGTGTTGGTCATCTTCTTCTTGACTATAGTCCATAGAGTCCGTATGAAATTAATCCATCCATCCATCCATCTTCTGAGACACTTTATCCCAGGTGGGGTCACGAGGGGTGCTGGTGTCTATGTCCAGCTGTCTATGGACAGGGTCCACCCTGGACAGGTCGCCAGTCCATCGCAGGGCAACACAGAGACAACCGTTCACACACACTCACACCTAAGGAGAATTTAGAGAAGCCAATTAATCTAACAGTCATGTTTTTGGACTGTGGGAGGAAGCCGGAGTACCTGGAGAGAACCCATGCATGCTCAGGGAGAACATGCAGACTCCATACAGAAAGACCTCGGGCCGGGAATCAAGTGCAGTATTGGCAGATACTGTTTGAAATCAATGTGTGTATCTATGAAGAACTGCAGACTGCTTGGATGTAAAATAATCACCATCATGGCTTCAAGCTGCTGCCTGCCTTAGTGAAGCAGGAAACAGACTAAAACAAAGAGAATCCAGTAGAACTTTTTATTGCCTACCTGGAATGGGTGACAATAGTTGAATACATTTTTGGTTCTCAGAATGGTATCGGTGCCCTATTGGTTGGTACTCGCTGATACCGATACCTCCATTTCAGTGCTGGATCGGGGCCCCACCTCATACTGGTATCAGTGCAACACTAGTAAATACCAAAGCCAATGTATAGTTTTATCACTGGGTTAAATGCATCTGGTAATGATCATCTCGTCACTTACTGGCAGCAAACGTAGCGCAATCTGATACCAGTCTAAGCTGGGAGACACTGGTATTCCTGTCTCCTTAAATCTCCCAATTGTAACTTATATTGTTCTTTTCTACCTGTATTGTTTTTATTTTTATCTTATATATGGGGGAGTGGTGGCCTAGTGGTTAGGGCAAAGAGCTTGGAATCCTGAGGTTGTGAGTTTGAGCCCCACTGCCACTCTGGATCCCTGAGCAAGACCCTTAACCCCCAACACTGCTCCACAATGGCAGCCCACCCCGCCCCAAGGGGATGGGTTAAATGCAGAGAGGGAATTTTGTTGCCCTGTACTTGTGACAGTTGAATGACAATAAAACACTGGAAATATCTCAAATAAAAAAATATCTATATTATATATTTATTGGACCACAAGTCTTGAAGTCCATCCATCATAGGAAG